ACTTTCCCGATCCCGTACTCAAGGGGACGAGATAGAGAGACGAGACGAATTTCCCCCTGACAAGTGTGGAGAACCCCAGAGAGAAGAATTCCCCTGATACTACACTCACCTGGAATGTATACTAGGGACATGTTGCTTTTAACATAGACTTAGAATGAGATTCTGATGTCTATTATTTAACTACAACTTCTAAACATGCATAGCTTCTTATATTTCTATATCATTCATACGCCCGTCTTAGTACATGGCATCGTCCGATTCGCACGGTTTTAAAGCAGACCATCCATGACCGTTCATGTGAACCTGCGTGTTATCGTGTAATATAGAGTTTTATTTGAAACCCATTTCGTCGAAAGTTGAATCTAATCATTCCATATTGAAAAATTTAATATATTATTATTATTATTGTGAATATTATTAGTTATAGGTTGTTGATTACGCGCTTTCCAGAGCCATGTCGCATAGGCGCCATTCATTCACCAAAGACACTATATTAATTTTGAACAATACAATTCTCCGGGGCACACTTTCTGATTCTGAGTACTCATGACACTAATTGACTTCGCCCCTGATGCACGCAATAAAATTTTAATTTTAGCCAAATATCCACTTGATATCTCAATTCCAACTAATGAAATAAATACATATACAAATTATCAAATTACTGTAACCTATAAAAGTAATGGCTTTCAACACTGGTAACAGAATGATAACAAATCTTAAATTCACGCTAGATGACAAAAACATAACAGCAGTAACAGAATTTTGCTACTTGGGTACAATGATCACACCTAATGGGAAGTTTAAATTAGCATAGTCAATGTAAAAAAATAAAGCAATGAAGGGGTTATAGTGTCCGACATTCAATACTGAATCATAAAATGATATCAACTTCATCAAGCTTGAAACTGTTTGACCAGTTCATAACACAAATCATAATGTATGGTGCTGAAATTTGGGCTGACAAAATACCTAATGACAACAATATGCTAGAGCAAGTGGGTAGTCAGTTTTACCGCTTTAAACTGACACCAACTATTGGTGTAAGAGCAGAGTTAGGAAGATTTCCAATTAGAATAAAAATTATAACTCTAGCAAAAATTAAATATTGGTATAGACTTAGCATGTTTGCTGACAATAATATTTTGAAATGTGCATTAAATGAAAACAAAGCAATTAAATCAAAGTGGATAAAACATATTGAAAATATTATTGGTCACGAGGAACTGGAGGAAGCAAAAGAACAGCACAATGTAGATAATATTAGCCAGTATACAAACAGTCATGGAAGGAGCAGCTAAACTCTCCACTAGTAGTAGAGACAAAAATGAAGGCAATAAACTTAGGACATATAAACAATTTAAA